TATAACGTCTGATTAGGTGAAAGTAGTCATATATGCTGAAATATTTGGAAATATTTTTTGTATTAAATTACGAACTAACGAGAAAGAAATAACATATCTTATACATTCCGCACACATGGCGATTTATACGGGAAAAATGACGTCAAATGTCTTTATGACGTCACAGCACAATTCATCCTATAGCACCCATAACCTCCCTTTTTCATGGCGGGTCACACATATACTAGTATTAGAGGCGGGAGGGGTTGTAGGAGAGGGTACATTGATTAGTGTTTTTTTATGCACTACACTGTCCCTAAAACACCGCAACACTCGCAGAAACTGATCCATCCAAGCCTGTATTACCATGGCCGTCTTCTATGTCATACATAACTCGCTACATGCCGCTTCGTCACACGTATTGCAGCGAGTGAACACCTGCTATATTTATACGACGCCACAGCATCAGAAAGAAATTAGAACGCTGAACGATCGTAAATAGATATCCTGGTTGATATTCTTCCGCATTTAATTATGTATACGAAAGGGCCTGCCGCCCCAGCGCGCGTACGTGCCGATTTGCACATTATCGCCATTGACGTTATGACCATAAATAGACCTTTGCGATCCGTTTTATTCAACAAAGCAGGCGCACCTTGTACATCCGCGTCGACAGGAGCGGTCGGCACAACACATACTCGGCTTTTTCCGTAAAGCCCCGAGAAGTTCCGACTGAAAAAACTCCACGGGGCACGTGCCGAACGAGAAAAACGTGCAGCTTTGGCTAGGGCGAGTGATGCAATTGATGGGGCATGGTATTGATGAAGGCATTGACCGAAAGAAAAAAAACATACGTGATAGGTCTCATGCTGTTATAACGGTAAACGTGTCGTGGTGTTGGTTGTGTCTGGCTTTAAATTTAGTGAAATAACTACGGAATCGTTGTTGAATGGAATAGGTCCCTAGCAACCTATGCTGGTCGTAAGAAGCGACTTAATGAATCAATTGGTCAGTCTCGGTGACCCGGACGATCAAAAAGACTCTTAACAAGTTTGAAACACGCCACTTTCTTCTGTTCTTTTCTTTGTTTTGTTGTTTAACGCCGCATTCGGCAACTTCCCACCGAGCCTTTTGGATCATGCCTACCGAAGCTGAACTAGTGGTCTAGTGGTAGAACGTCCGCCCGGAGAGCGGAAGGTCCGGGGTTCGATCCCCGGTCGTGTCATACCAAAAGACGTTAATAGATTGTACTTGTCTGGCGCTCGAACTTAAGGGGCTGAAACAAGGGATCGGCTCGGAGTCAGTATACTGTGTCTGAGTGGGGTATTCATGTTACACGGCATGAAATCTGAGTGTGCTAGCACTATACATCGGAATCAGTCCGGACAAGTGCGGACACACACACACACACACGTCGCTATATATGTGCAATAATCTTGCACGCGACGTGAAACCCCATATCACCTCACCTCACTTCTGAGGGTTTACACTTTTGAATGGAATCATTTGAAGGGTATTTACTCCAACCGAAATTAATCTGATACGTTATTTTCAACAGTTAAGATCGTTGGTATGGAATGTCAAGAAAAATGTTAATTAGCGGCGCTTGCTCTAGTCCAGTCTCATGCCGGTTTTAAAGTGCTAGCCATCTGAGATACTATGCGTTTACTATGTATTTTCAATAAATGAGTTTTTAAGAATATAGCATATAAGCATTTAAAGTCCCCGTTCCCATGTTTAAAACCTATTCAGGCGGTGGGTTAGCCTGATGGTGAATGCGTTCTGTCGTCACGTCGAAGACACTGGTTCGATTGCCGAGAAGAGTGCGATTTTTGAAGCCCACTATTAGTGAGCATTGGCGAGATATTGCTTGAACATTGCTAAAAGCGGTGCTAAACAATACTCACTCACTTTGCGTTTGTGACTCTGGTATCAGAAGTTGAATTACCGCATTCGACGTAATAAGCGCCCTGGGAGCTCTCAAAATTACAACTAGGGAGCTCTTATTAGAATATTATTTTGGTACAGAGTTGAAAATTTCGTGGTTTATGCCGACTGCCTGAAATGTTTATGTACGACAGATATATTTTTCCAGAATTTAATTGCCCATAATTAAGGGTGCATATAACACACGAATGCGTATTATACGCGAAAAAAAATAGGTCTTGTATACATTGATCAATCGGAAGGGGTGCTAATTGGGATTGTTCACTAGCCAATATATTAGCAAATATCGCCGTGGGCGCTTATTTAGAGCGGGGTGCTTATTACGTCGATTACGGTACTCGTTGTCGAGCGTATATATTCCGAACTGACACGAAACCAATCCGGTCATTCAGAACTATTCGTGACCAACTCGTGTTATTCCGGGACGAGCCGAATTTCTTGCAGGTTACGGAAAGGGGCGAGTGGTGACGTGCAATATGTGGCTGGGTGATGTACCATTGGCAGGTGTCTGTTTTCTCAGACAAATGTTAAGGTTACTTTTCAGTTTGCCTAGCGGGCAATGTCTTTTGTCTATGGTTTGTTTGTTTGTTTTGTTGTTTAACGCCGCACTCAGCAATATTCCAGCTATATGACGGCGGTCTGTATGTAATCGACCTTGGACCAGACAGTGTAGTGATTGATATCATGAGCATCGATCAACGCAACTGGGATACGATGACATGCACCAACCAATTTAGCGAGTCTGACCATCCGATCCCGATAGTCGCCTCTTAAGACAAGTATGGGTTGCTGAAGACTTATTCTAACCCGGCTTTGTCTTTGGTGAATATCTTTTAGTGTAAGCGAAAATAAGAACGCTGAATTAGGCATACAGGATTAACAACAATGTCTTTGAAATAAGGGCAAAGGAGCCTACCTTTTGTCGACTTCCATGGATATTAAAAAGATGAAGGAATTCGCCATCTCGGAGACTAGTGGAGCAACCCATTCGCACTAGCCGACGAGTGACATGTTTTGGCGACTGGCGAAAACATTCATATTTTATGTACGCTTCGCTAACGTCATTCTTGTATTTGTTTGTTTGTTTGTTGTTTAACGCCGCACTCAGCAATATTCCAGCTATATGACTGCGGTCTGTAAATAATCGAGTCTGAACCACACCATCCAGTGATTGACATCATGAGCATTGATCCACACAATTGGAATCAATGACATGCATCAACCAAGTCAGCGAGCCTGACCACCCGATCCCGTTAGTCGCCTTTTACGCCAGCATGGGTTGCTGAAGACTATTCTGACCCGGATCTTCACGGGTCGGTCATTCTTGTAAGTAAATAACATTGCTTAACGCAACGTCAGCAGTTTTTACAGCTGTGAACAGCGATCGTTATTATTGCAATACAAGTCAGTGAGATCATCCGATTCTCATTTCCAATCTGTACGTGTTGCCGAAATTACTAAATACATGGTGGCTATTGATTTTTTTTACAACTGAGGTTAGGTCTGCATTAATTTCACAAGTCACGAAAGTTCATTGTGTCATGACCGCCTCCGTGGTCTAGTGGATCGAGCGTCTGCCCGGAGAGCGGAAGGTCGGTGGTTCGATCCTCGGCCGCATCATACCCAAAGACGTTAAAAGATGATACTTGTTGTTACCCTGCCTGATTCTCGGCATAAGGGAAACGGTAAGGGAGGTAACTAGCCTCCCCCAGTTTTAATGGACGAGAAGACATCATTTTCATAAAAAAGACGGCATGGGAATTTGCTCATGATATCAATTATTGGTTTGTCACATTTTCATTGTTGAACTTCTCGCAAACTCCTTCGTAATCAATGGGATTGGCCGCCATGTTGATGGTATTGCCAACCCAACGTTGAGACTGGTTTGCAACTCGCGTTGTGATTGGTACGTTAGAACAAGCTGGTAGTGTAGCCAATCAAAAAATGCCCGTTTTCGATAGGTAAATAATTATCTGTACCCAATACAGGTATACACACTTTGAAAAGATATATTGGTTAACTAAACGCTGAGTAGTCCTGTATTTACTCAAGCGTATTTGTAAGCAAGCAACTGAAAATCGATTGGGTAATAGTGATTTATGTTGCGTATTTTACGCAAATACGCAGCTTATTTGGAACTCAAAAGCGCTTTGATATTTTAAAGAAAGCAGTGGAAATCGCAAATGCGCTTTGATAATTTGTAGAAAACTGGAATCCCCAAAATGCGCTTCAATAATTTGCAGAAAACAACAGTGGAATGTCACAAATGTGTTTTGATAAGAGTGCAGAAAAGAGTGGAATCTCGCAAACGTGTTTTTATATTTTAGGTAACTGGAGTCACACAAACGCGATTGTCATCATTTGCTACCGAAAATCTTGATGACCCTAGTTCGAAACGAAAACCAGGGAACTTAATTTTGCTACAAACTGTATTTCTTACGTAGTGAACTGCCCTGTGAAGATCCCGGTCAGAATTGGTCCTCAGCAACCCATGCTTGTCGTAAAGCGATCGGGTGGTCAGGCTTGCTTACTTGGTTGATGCATGTAATCGTATCCCAATTGCGTAGATCGCTACTCATAATGTCAATCACAGGATTGCCTGGTCCAGACTCGACTTTTTACAGACCGCCCTGATATAGCTGGAATTTAGTGCTGCGTTTACCAACAAACAAACTTAACATTTTGATCAATTCTGGTAAAACACGAAAAGTAGGGAACTTAAATGTGCTACAAACTATATTTCTTTGTGAACTGCTTAAGCTCAGTTGGTAATTCACTGTGTGACCCTTGAAGATCCGGGGTAGAATAGGTCTTCAGCAACCCATGCTTGCAGTAAAAAGCGAATATGTTTGTCGTAAGAGGCGACAAACGGGATCGGGTGATCAGGCTGACTTGTTTGATGCATGTCATCGAATCCCAAGTGCTTAGATCGATGCTCATGATATAAATCACAGGATTATTTACAGACCGCCGTCATATAGCTGGAATATTGCTGAGTGTGGGGGTAAACAAACAAACAAACAAACAAACAAACAATAATTCCCTGTGTATATTGTCGCGTCTTCTTCTTCCAGCTCATCCCTCTGTGTGTGATCATCGGCGGGGCGTGTGTAGGGGCGTGTTCGTTTATGGGCTATGCGCTATACACCAAGCCAGATGTCCGGTAAGACAGCTGCTCGGACATACAAAAACACTGAAGAAGAAAAAATAAAATAAAAACAAACAAGTTAGAAGAAACATAAATCGGAATTCTTATCCATTATATGACCCCCGCCACTAGTAGCATTTTAACATGACGCCTATTGGTCGATGGCGCGGCAACTCGTGTAGAGTTGTGTCCCTTAGCTGTGTAAGGATTCGCTGATCGTGGCTTCAAATCCTAGTATTGCACCGATATTGATTCTATCCACTTCTCAGACCGGCGTCTCTTTTATTTATTTATTTAATTTATAAATGTATTTGTTTTCAAAAGTTCATAAGATTTGAATGTAGCGCCGTTCACGAGTTAGAATCGTAACTTATCCTTGGTCTGTCAAATACAAATCCAGGCTAACGGGTGTCCTCAAAGTGATACCCGCAACCTCCCACATCCAGCTGACACGCCGTGTTATAACTGAAATAGGGGCGGTCGGGTAGCCTAGTGGTTAAAGCTCGTCACGCCGAAGACCCGGGTTCGATTCCAGACATGGGTACAATGTGTGAAGCCCATTTCTGGTGTCCCCCGCCGCGATATTGCTGGAATATTGCTTAAAGCGGCGTAAAACCATACTCACTCACTCACTGTAACTGAAATACTGTTCAAAGCGGCGTTAAATCAAACCCAGATTGTGTATCAAGTTACGCGTATCAGAAATGTATATGACCAACGCACTCTGCCAAGTTCGTGAACATGGGCCGATTGCAATTCTTCATGAGTAACCAACTACAACAATGTAATGGTTGTGTTTATCACAGGATCAACAAGAGCGATGCTGTTCCACCATGGGAGAAAGTCCGAGCAACCGAGTGTAGGAAGGTGAGTGACAGTGTGACGTCATAGCATCCCCGAGAAGTACATGCACCAAACTATTTAAATGGTCAGGTGAGGTTTAACGTCCCGTCCAAGATCATTGCACTTATATAGCGATGTGCATGCACGTGTGTGTGGCTGCTTGTACTAGTCCGGACTGATGCCGATTTTAAAGTACTAGCCCCCTGAGATACCATGTCGCAAATTAACATGAATACCCCACTCAGACACAGTATACTGACGCCGAGCCGACCAGTCCTTGTTTTCATCCCTTAATGCCGAGCGCCAGACAGGGTAACAACAAGTACCGTCTTTTAACGTCTTTTGGTATGGCGCGACCGGGTATCGAACTCCGACCTTCCGCTCTTTGGGCATGCTGACATGCAACCCAATCAGCGAGTCTGACAACCCGATCCCGTTATTCGCCTTGCAGAAGGCTAGATTACTGCTGACTGCCGCGTTACATACACAAACAAGCAACATATACTACTCAAAACAGGTTAAGGAACACCCACAGTAGGAAGGTTGTGTGTACAATACCCACTGTCACCACAGTGTTGTCAAAAATTTACTCTTTGGCGCAATGCCACCCGAAAAATGCAGTTTACCTCGAAATTTACAACCTGAAATTATTTCTTCAAATTTAAACAAAATTATTGTACATTTAACCAATTTTTTCGATTATTTTCAATTCGTGTGAATGTACAACGAAGCACAGCATGATGGGGTAGAATATATATAAATATGCCGAGTACCCGACGGCATGGGACTTTGCTCATGATATCAATCACTGGTTTGTCACCTCGCCTGATCACATTATCCATTTCATCGCCTCGTACAAACATGGGTTGCTGGGGACATATTCCAACCCAACATCCCCACGGAGTTGATATGTCTATGGGTCACGGTAGACCCACCGTCTCTGCACCGCAATTTGATGTTGCGTGTAAATGAGCACGCCAAAAACCTAAGATAGCGGGTTCGAATCACGGTTGGCCCCGATTGTGTTTCTAGGTTTGTCAGCACCATGCCCGTGCTTGTCTTCTTCACCAATTGTGGTAAAGGTCTGAGACCTGCGTCACTTCCTTCCATAAGCTGAAAGGCCGTTTTATAACCAAAACACTGTTCAAAGTGGTGTTAGACCGCACTGTCTCCCTTCGGTTTTAGATGGGGGCGGTCGGGTAACCTGGTGGTTAAATCGTTCGCTCGTCACGCCGAAGACCCGGGTTCGATTCCCAACATGTGTACAATGTGTGAAGCCCATTTCTGATGTCCCCCGCCGTGATATTGCTGGAATATTGCTAAAAGCAGCGTAAAAGCACACTCACTCACTCACTCACTCACTCACTGTTTCAGATGGTGACCTTGAACCAGAAGTACATCCCTATTCCTGAGTTGGAGAAGCTGAGAGAAGAGATCGGCAGCTACAAGCTCTAGGGGCCTTACAACTGTGTTATGTAGTGTTGTTATTTTGTAGTGTTGTTGTTGTTGTGAGGAAGAGTCAGTGTTGTGTAAGTGGACAAACATACATAAATGTGACCCGCCATGGCAGGAGATAAGGGACCTTATGGGTGCTGGGATACAATTGTGCTGTGACATCATAATTGTGCTGTGACGTCATAAAGAAAGACGTTTGAGGTCAACTTACTTCAGCAAAAATCGCCACGTGTGCGGACTACAAAAATATCTTATTTTTATCTCGTTAGATCGCAATGTTATGAAAACATTATTTCAAAGCATTTCAGCATACATGTCTACTTTTAATTATATGTAAAACTGCATAATTACATAAACAGTAATAAGCCTGAAAATGCGAATTTGCAGAAAATGAGTCCAAATGTTTGATGTTAAGTATCTCTGTAATATACATGAATTGAAGCTTGTCCAATGTATTTTTGTGGTCCTACGATACTGTAGTTTTAAAATATAGTAAGAAGTCCAAATGTGATTTTTCACCCATAAGGTCTCTCATGTTATGGTTGATCACATATACCAACTGTTTCCTGGAATTGGTGGAACCAAGGGTACAGGCCGTTCTTGTTTTGATTAGTTGGATGATACCCATGCTTCTTACATTCTTGCTCTGATTGTGTTACTAGGTTTGTGGAATACTGTTGAAAGCGGCCTTAGAACCAACTCACTCTCCCACTCTTACATTCTTGCTCTGATTATGTTTCTAGGTCTGTCGTGGGTTTCACTAAAGTGATAAGCGTCCGCGACCCGAGTTACTTCCAGCTCTTCTCCCACACTAGCTGACCTGACTTAACTGGAATACTGTTCAAAGCGGCCCTAGAACCAGCTCCCTCTCTCACGCTTACATTCTCGCCAAATCGGCTTACAGAGTTGCTCCCCTAAGGCGTGCCAGAATCCTATGGTCGTGGGTTTGAATCCTGGGTAGATTCGTCCTGATTATGGTTCTTGCCTAGTAGGCAACAAAATCCAACATTGATATTGAAAAAGAAACAGCAAACAAAGTTTGATGAAAACGAATATTACAAGGATTAATATGATTTGAAATTATGAATTAAACATTTGAGAAACAACCAATACCTCAACACACTAAAATCGAACTTGGCAATAATAGAAAGTGAAAGGGCAATGTCATTTAAAATTCTACCTAGATTGAAATTGACTTTATGGAAGATATCTGTTGATATAGAAATAGATTCTTGATAAAGAGGCAGCTGCCTTCGGAGTCCCATCTTCGGTTATCAAGGGTATTATATCTCCATTCTATCAGGATAAATCCCCTGGACACATATCAATTGAGTGCATATCGTGGCCGGATGACTTTTTGCTTTTTGTTTCGTAGCAAAATGTTTCCTTGGTTCCATGTTTCCTTTCCTGTTTCGCACGCGATCTATGACGTCATTATTTATATCATACGTTTTTCAAAAGGTCTTGTCAATAACTCGACAGGTTTTACTGTAAAATATATATTCTGGTCACCATTTAAAAGTGGACATCACCACTGAAATGATGACAGTTAAACAATCTTGCCCGCGAGCAAAGGATGTAAGCCAATTACTCAACTTACTTTAAACATTGTTTAGCTCACCTGATTCAAAGTGAAGTCAGAAGTTTATCTCACCAGTCTCAAAGTGAAGTCAGCGTATATCATGATCTCCCGTCATTTGTCAACTACTGAAAGATCCTCCCTTCAGAAACACTGGGCACAGGCAACCGAAACACCACGTGATTATTCCGACCAATGAAGACACCTGAATTTGTTCAGGTGGTTCAAATCCGAAAATCCAATATGGCCACCTCACAGTGACCACAGCAGCCATTGACTGTTCATACGTCAATTAGTCATTAATTTATGGAACAATATATGAAAATTGATGACGACAGCTATACGTGATACCATCTAAGCTATTAACATATCCAGGTGAGCGTGAGTGTGGTGTCGTGTTCCAGGCTTTTGTTAAAGTTGGATATTTCATTCTGATGTGCAAGGATGTACGGAAGCCTTATAGAGCCATTTGTTTTTTAATTTTGTTTCGATACTAATTTGAAATTTCAAGAAACTAAGTTGAAATTTCAAGATAGTATCTTGAAATTTCAACTTCTATATCTTGAAATTTCAACTGAGTATCTTGAAATTTCAAGATAGTATCGAAAAAAAAAACCCAAATGGCCCTAAAAGGCTTCCGTAAGGATGTGTGTACCTTTGTGTTTCCTATCGAATATAATGTACGAAGAGCATACTCGAGAAGCTTGTGTTTGTAGTGATCAGTTAAAAAGTTCATCGAATGAGAGAACGCCCACCCCAACCCCAAAAACCAATGAAGACCATAATAATATTAATAAAAATAAAGCAAAAAAACCCCAAAAACCATATATACGAAAACACAACCAAATAGATACACAACCCTCCGACTTGAGGAAATAATTTATTTATTTTTTCAATATCGAGCTTTTGAGCTACTGCCTAGGTATTTACTGCGGGCCTGTGTGACGAAGTACCCAACGTGATAAGTTGTAGTTTCACATCACATATAGTTTCAGTCCATTTTCCTCAAACTGCTATTAGGTGTTACACTCTTGTATGTAGAAATGTAAGATTGGCGTGTATGCTTTGATGTATAAATGATCGACAAAAGTAATAAATTATATTTGGAAAGATGTTTGAAGAGTTTTTTATGAACCTCCAGGCATCCAGATTATTCCCCGTGATGATTCGGTCTGAGATTGATCCCCAGTCACTCGTGCTTGTCGCTCGCATAAGAGGAGACTGAATGATTCGGCTGTCAAGTTGATAGTCATCTTCCCGAGGCAAGAGAGTTAACTGACTATAAAAGTCCAGTTTCCACCCTTGCCAAACTAGGCTGGTATTATGGAGTTATATTTTGGCTGGACTAACGAGTCTAAGCATAGTCCAATCAAAATCGCGCACCGAAATTGAAATCTGGTTAGTAAACTGTCGTGCAGATTTCGGTCGATTGCAGGATTTGAAAAACATGTTCACCGCCAACTCGTCAGCAGGCATTTTCCAAATCTTTTCATGTTTTTAATCAAGGTGCTCACGTGATTTGATGCATTTCGCGATGTAAGCCCCGTTTTATCACAATATAGATCTTGATTGTCGATCAGATCGTCCTGACCGGGCGCCACCATTTTCTGTGAAGCAAACGCAAGTGATACGAGAGATGGAATCTGATTGGTCCATAGGAGATGCATAGAAGGGACATAACTGGTAATAGCCACTGGTGGCGCTACAACCGAGCCCAGTAATTCCAGCCTAGTTCGGCAAGGGTGGAAACTGGACTTTTAAGTCAGTTAACTCTCTTGCCCCGGGAAGATGGCTGATAGTGTGTCAGCGTACCCCTGCGACGTGGATCGATGCTCACAACATCACTCTCTGGTTTATGTGGTCCCGACGACGCACCCCGCAATATTCCACCTATATGACGGCGGTATGTAAATAATCGAGTATGGACCAGACAATCCAGTGATTGACATCATGAGCATCGATCCACGTAATTGGGATACGATGACATGCATCAACCAAGTCAGCGAGCCTGGCCACCCGATCCCGTTTTTCGCCTCTTACGGCATGCATAGTCGCCTTTTACGACAAGCATGGCTTGCTGAAGACCTATTCTACCCCTGATCTTCACGGGTCGGTATACAATGATAAGAATCTATAATTTAACAATCATACCATCACATTATTACATACCATGAGCATCACTTTATCTGAGCATATATTACACAGCACAATCATCCACTTAAGTTGTTACGGCGTAACATAATTAAAGTCTATGTCAGCTTAGCCGAGTTCTGACATGGGTACCAAATGATAACTTTAATTAACCACATGCATCTATAGATATGACTTTGTCAGACATTGCTCTGGGTATAAATGTAGTATACACCAGCTAGCACTGGCATATAAAGAGACAATCCACTTCCATAACTGGTGCTTTAAAAAATATATTTATCGGTTCGTATCAACAGTTGGATTTGTGTAGATGGATTAGAAAATTAGGGCACTCGTTTTATATTTCAAACGGATTTAATTGCTATAGATATATTCCGGGTTCTCTAAAATACCCCTACCCACAGGCAGAGAGACACAGACAAACACACAGAGACAGACACAGACACACACACACAGACACAGACAGACACGGGCACGCACACTCACACGGTCACACACAGAGTGAGAGACCGCTCTGTGTTATGTCAGTTCCGTGTCACATACCTTCTTTTCACTAACAAGAGATAACTGAAGTAGAAAAATATAAGTTGCTGGGAAAAATTCGATTCCTCAGAAAATATTCACAACTATCAGATGGTTGGAATACCACAAATCATAAACGCAAAGATATATCAGATTCGAATAACTTACATTGTATCTCCAAATGTGTAAAAGACTGTAAAAAAACTGTATAAGGAAGCTATCCTAAAAAGATCAGAAATTGTAATGTAATAAACATTACGGGTTTTGAATTATCCTAATGACGTACACATATTCTGGTTGATTAATCCTGTACGAGACCAGTTATGTTTCTCCCACACATTTGGCTATACAGTAAAGTACGGATATAACGAACTCAATGGGACTTCTAATTTTAGTTCGTTATAACCGTAGTTTACTGTATGTGATATCCAGCACATGTTTTGTACTCTTTGTCTTTACAATATTTGATCAGATTGTAATTCTTCCGTTTTTCTGAACGAGCTTTACATATTAAAGTTTGTTTGTTGTTAAATTAACGCCGCACTAATATTCCACCTCGTACATCATCAAAACATCACCAGGCAAACCAGTGAGTGATATTGTAAGCAACGTCCCACACGGTCGAGGTGCGATGGAGGTGAGGTGAGGTGAAATGGGGTTTAACGTCGCGTCCAAGATTACTGCGCTTATATAGCGACGTGCATGTACGTGTGTGTGTTTGTGTGGCTGCTTGTACTAGTCCGGACTGATGCCGATTTATAGTGCTAGCTCACTGAGATACCATGCCGAAGTTTAACACGAAAACCCCACTCAGACACAGTATACTGACTCCGAGCTGACCAGTCCTTGTTTTCACCCCTTAATGCCGAGCGCCAGAAAGGGTAACAACAAGTACCATCTTTTAACGTCTTTTGGTACGACGCGGCCGGGGATAGAACTCCCGACCTTCCGCTCTCCGGGCGGACGCTCTACCACTAGACCACGGAGGCGGTCGAGGTGCGATGGAGCGCAGGTTACCGAGTCTGACCACCCCATCCATTGCGACGCCTCTTACGACAAGCATAGGCTACTTGGGAATCCCACGGTGTTTCAATATTAACATTGTCTCACTATGGTGTTGGTAAATATGTAGAAATACGTCTATATATCTCTAGACATGGTGGATATGATATTCCTTCATATTTTTGGTAATTAATTCATATGAAATGTTGGGGCGGTCGGGTAGCCTAGTGGTTAAAGCGTTCGCTCGTCACGCCGAAGACCCAGGTTCGATTCCCGACATGGGTACAATGTGTGAAACCCATTTCTGGTGTACCCCGTCGTGATATTGCTGGAATATTGCTAAAAGCGGCTTAAAACAATACTCACTCACTCATATAAAACGTGTGTACTATTTGAAGACGCTATCGATTCTAGCATTGAAAATACAATGTCAAATTTGTTACACTTAACTGAATCTGTCTGCGAAATTTATAGATGAAATTACCTTGTCTTGTCAGTTTTCTTCACCTATATTTCATATCTTATTGAAACTTAATTATTGCAAATTAATAGATAAACAGCTTAGAAAGAATGAGTTGAATGTCTTGCCAAATATACATTTGTACACAAGAATATTTTTAGATCTATATCAGAGATCATCGATCTCAATTGCGTGGATCGATGCTCATGATGTCAATCACTCGATTGTCTGGTCCAGACTCGATTATTTTACAGACCGCCTTCATATAGCTGGAATATTGCTGAGTGCGGCGTTAAACAACAAACAAACTACATCAGAGAGGTTCAATAAATAAGCGAGGTCTGCTGTTTACGTAGTGTACATTAATTTTAATATGACGCGGATAGAATCAGAGTTATCGTTCTTGTTTGAAGTAGTGTTCATACGCCAATATGGAAACTTTCGAGAGGGGCACGACATTCGTCACCACTCGCCCCTTTCCGTAACCTGCAAGAAGACTCGTCCCCCTATCGATGAATGTTATGTGCGAAAATACGACAAACCAATCAGAATGCACGTATGATTTCAAGTTCTTCGTCAAAGAATCCCTCAGGAATCATTTTTCAGTTCACATATGTCTTGCATCTAAAAATATACCAAAGACACAGTTAAATGTGTTTAATCATACTGTATAATTCCGCACGTCCCGATGTGCTTTAAATTGCATCTGAAATATATATAATATATGGGGAAAAATGTGAACCATTACGCAACGAGTTGACCATTGTTTTAGGTATGCCCGTTTGCGCTAAGACGGAGCTCGGTCGCAAAAATGGCCACGAGAGGGGCACGAGTCGCTATTCGGCTCGTCCCGGAATAACACGAGTTGGTCACGAATGAGGGGCACGAGTCCACATTCGGGACAAGCCGAGTAGGCTACGGCGAGTGGTGACGAATGGTCGCAAATGATGCTGCCATGCCTGGTGTCGGATGCGTTCAGGGAGTACAAGACGTCAAATCCGCCAACTCGACACAAAATGTGTTCAAGAATTAGAGACGTCTGAGGAATGCTCATTTTTATCGGAGAATTTAGCGTTCCTGAATATTAACAACCTGTTTCCACTATGCGGCTTCTGGGAATGTATGTGACATTTCCAAACATGGTGGGAAGGATTCAGATTACCTCAAAAGAATGTCAGAAATTGCTCTTGCTAGGTTATTGATGAGCGCAAGGAGGGTAAATTTAAACCATTGTGTTCTACAACCATTCTGGTAACCCCAGACTCCGGAATATTCCAGCCATATATATATATAGACTCCGGAATATTCCAGCCACATATATATATATATATATATATATCGCATGAACGCAGCTTCATCATTATTGAGTTTAAAAAATCCTGCTTCTTCCCGAATATGGACTTTATCGAACTTTTTTCATTCAAAATGGGATGCAGGTGCATCATGACAAAATGGCTCGGAACGGTATAAAATCCGCCAATCTGTATGTTTTACACCACAATCGTACCGACCACAACAGCTGACATGCCGAGACTGACCGCACAAGAGCGAGAGAGAGCAATTGGGATGTTGCAGTTGGGAGCACGCCATGCCCATGTTGCTCGCATCTTCAACTGCACGAGAACAACGATAACGAGGCTTGAGACACGACTCACACAAACAGATCGTACAGATGACAGGCCAAGAAGTGGAAGACCCAGGGTCACAACCGCCAATGAAGATCGGTACCTCCGCATCTTACATCTACGCAATCGTTTCGTCGCTGTGACGTCATCGACAGCCACAGCCTTACATCACGTGGTCAGCAGAAGGACAGTTGCCAGGCGTCTTCGACAACACGGTATCCGGGCCTACCGGCCCTTTCGCGGGATAACCTTGAGCCGTCGTGACCGCCTCCATTGGGCAAGAATGGTACAGCGGTGGCAAAACAGGAACTGGCAACGAATTCTATTCTCTGATGAGAGCAGGTTCCAGT